AACACGTTATTATCCAGGTCATACGTGACATCTGAATGTTAGTGTTACTGATTGGTGTGTACAGTGTTGCAGGATTGTATTTCACCTTTAGCGTAAAGCTGTAGAAGACGGACTAAACACAGCATTAAAAAGAATGATTCATAGGTATCTGTGACAGTGTACATCAGGCTCTATATATACACGACGAAATGCCTTACGGACGCAAACTGTTCTGTTTGGTTCTCAAATTCCTGCTAATTAGGAATAAATAGCACATGCTAATGTCTGATGAGCTTACTTGGAACTGTAGGCCCGTGCAGCGAGATGCAATGTGATACGTATAGTAGTCGACAGGGATACTGGCATTGGTACAAATGTACCCAGATATTCTGAACAAAATTGCCAGAAAGTTGTAATGCTATATAACTTCTGTTTAGATTTTGACTTGTTTGGGTTGGTTTACGTCCTCGACCCAGATTCTTGTCACATGGTACCTGGGAATATGAGTACTTAAGAGGAACTATTTTGATTGAGACGCCTGGTTATATCTACGAACGAGATACCGCATCAACTAAGCCAAACTAAGTATATTTTAAAATAATATGTAACATCGCAAATAAAAAAGTATCGTAATTCTAACCATGCTCATAATAACTTGCTCCCTATTGTCCTGTTGTCTGTTCTGTATTACCTCCTCGAATGAAATTGTTCCAATTTGGCCAGCCGATCGATTTCTCTTGTTTCTTGTTTTCTGAATACAAAGGATTAATCTTTTTAGAGTGTGCCAAGCTCCTCTACTGCACATTTGTGTTTTCTGGTCTGATAAACAAAGTGAAAAAAGTGGCATACATTGACAATTTAATGCAGAAGTTCCATTTTCTCTGCCTTGAAGCTGCTTTCCCAATTCCTTAAAGGTTTTATACGAACCAATAGGTTGTATTTTTCACAAACACATTTGGGCTCAGCACCTCTAAATTATTAAGCAAAGCTCTAAACGAAAGCTGAAAAAGTTCAGAATGGTGGCATTTTCCCATGATATATGTGACAACAAATAACATTGCCAACCAGACCTAAAGGGAATATTTTTTTGTAAAACGTGTATAACTTATCTCTACATTGTAGGTTGACAGGCACTTACGTCTCATGTGACTTGTTAATAAGCCAATTCCACCACACCAAACCAAGTTAGCTGGTCTGGATTTGCTCGCGCTCTTAGCCTTGTAAGTTTCACTATTAGCAGTGATATCGCCAATAAAACTCGACGTAATTATTCTGGACATTTGAAGTATTTTCATAGATTTTTTTCGATAATACTTACTTGATTTATACTGCAGGATTACATTGATGTTATAATAAAAAAAAAATCGATGGATAATAATTATTCAAATATTGGAATTATTTCAATTTGAAATATTTTATTTGTGATATTCTGAAATTATGTATGGGCCTTGCCAAATAGATGCCCTATTTATTTAATGCACTGTGCCTGATAAGACCTAGCAAGCTTTGCCAATGATCAATACATTGTATCTTTCTTTAAAGAAGGGAGATATATTCCTTATAAATACAATATTTAGTTGCTCGAAATATATGTCTCTGCTTTAATATCCTGAAACTGTTTAGATGTACCATTTGAATTGCTTCCCAACCTCCAATCCTGACGAAATACATGTATTAAATTTGTTAATACATGTACCTGTTTGAGTGTGTGCCTTGCGGGGGTGGGAGAGTTGCATAGGTAGAGATTGGGTCATCTTCCCCCTGAACTCCATCGTTTCTGATTGTTAAATTTTGTTTTTTACGTCCAATGAATGTGTAAAGAATGCATTCTTCGCAAAAAAACTGGACATTTTTGTATATTGTGTGGCATAGATGATCACCAAACCTTGCATGTACCAATGTACCAGGTATATATCAACTGCTATTTAATGCATATACTTTCTGTTGATATATATACACTACATGTAATTTAATTTCATTTCAGGGGTGCTAAAGGTAAAGTCAGCACTTGACGGGGAGGACACTGATGTGGGCTAGTAATGAGAGGGAGAGTCATTCCTGAATGTCTTCCAGTGGGGTTAGATGCTTAAGGATTGTCACATGTCTGCTACCTCTACAAAACACTTGCAAGTACCTTCCCTGCCTACTTCTAGATGTAACTAATCTCCTGTTGGTGATCTATCCAAACAAAGGAATGATGACATACTGTGTTTGAAATCTACTTCTTAGGTTAATAGTGCATTTCAGTGACTATTCTATTCAGTCCATTTGTACTGGCGTAAGGACTGTCTTTCTGTGGCTGTACAAGTTGTATAGGGTTTTCATCATGTCAAAGTGTTTACTGGATGTAGAAAGTGAGGTTAAAATGTGTAGTGTTAAGCGATGAGTATTAAAATTGTCCTTGGCTAATAAATTGATGGGAAATGATCAAAACAGAACTTGTTATTTATTTTCTACAAAAACAAAATAAAAAATAGTATTAAAAATAGGAATAACATATTCTGTGCCTGAACAAAAATGCCTGTTTTATTTTCTGAAATTGATGTTTAACAATTTTTTGAAGTTTTTTCCAGGAATTAGCTCATCAACCTTAAATATTTACAAGGGAAAAGTCTGAGGCTAAGCATACCACCATTTCAAACTGCAATAGAATAGTCAAATACTTATTACACAGATAGTTTCTTTACTGTACTGGGTGGTCGGGTGATGAAGTGGAAAGCGCACTTGCCTTTTACCAAGGCAGCCGGGGTCCGATTCCCCGATTCGACATGAAAAGGTATGGGGTCACCTGCCTGACCACGTTGGTTTTCTCTGGGTACTCGGTTTCCTGCCACAGTAAGGCACCCTGCTCGAGAAAGTATAACGGCCAGACTAGGGTTCGGACGTCATATTTACCGACAGTAAATCGAAACCCCCGAAACATATCAAATTACTATGAACACCTTAGTTTATGTCCAAATATAGCTGCAACACACTCTCAGGTCACTGTGGGGTTGATGATTTTTGGTATTTTTCTAAAAGGGGAACATAAAAGTGGATCAAGTATTGGTACCCTTACGCTGCAGTTTTCATATTTTGGTATATATACAATACATTTACATATGTATTGAGACATATCTCTTCTAGAACTACAACGTATAAGAAAATCCTTTGTTTGTTAAACCGTTCTACCTAAGTTCCGTGGTCTTGCATAACAATGTTCAATTATTTCACTAAACTCTGTAAAGCTCTTTTGGCAGTAACTGGACTCGAAATTATCCATATATGTGAGAGGAAGTTTTTTTCCTATCAACAGACAAAATGTAATAATCCAATAAACCATACAGTAATATAAAGCCGCAATCGCTATTAACCTACAGTCTGGTCGCTATTATCCATACAGTAGCATGTCCATAGGTGCTATTTGCAATCATTGTTTACATTATGTTTAAAAATCACAAATGTTTTCGTTCATGTGTGTTTTGAATTTATAAATCATTGAATTATGAAAAATACATAAACCGTGTGTCAAAGGAGATCTGTGAGTTAATTATTGACATAATCTGTGAGATTGTCGACTTCGGGCCGTGATAAACTCACTGATTCGTTATACTTTAATGTGCTTTTAAGTTTCATTTCTGGAATATTTCAAGTTCATAACAAAGGTTGATCTATAATACACTAATTGATTTGCACCCACCTTCGTAATGATGATAGTATACCGAAAACATGTCCATGAATCTGCATCGCTTAAGCGATCGCTATTTCCGGAACCTATACAATGCCGTTTGACCACAGTGTTTGCTTAGACTTATCGTCAAATATGTCATATGCACTTTTTTCTATAGCAATTACCAAACAGTTTTTTCCCAACTTATCTCAATCATTCTTTTTGTGACCTGACGGAAGCACGCAGAGGATTTAATTCTTTATGTGGGAGGATGATAGAGTATCCTGAGAAAAACCTGCATGGTCGGGCAGGTAACCGGTATTGAATCCCGCTTTCTTGGTGAAGACGGGCGCGCTATCCACTGCGCCACCCGACCAAGTATCTACTTAAGCTTTGACTGGAAGAAAATGGCGTCATTGATGCAACACATTGATATTGTGAATACATTTTTACCAATCATCAATAATACAACAAAATCTGTAAACGGGAGACCAGGGAAAGTTCGGCCAGCCCTGATATTTTTGTTTTGAGCTAATATTTACAACTTTAAGGATTTTAGCAGTTAAGTTGGCTGGGCATTCACACAAAAAATGGAGAGGAAAACTCTAATGTAACATTACTAAACAGGAGAAAATTACTTTTGAGAGGATAGAAAGAAAATCATGATCACGCTTGTACTTATGCGAACTTTCTGTAAACGGAATTGCTCCTTTTTACGGTCAAACGTGCAACACACTGACAGCTTCAAATGATATACATAAAAGACAAGCCAAGCACTCGCTACCATATTGCTGTATCAATTTGGGTCCGGACAGGTTCGGCTAATAATACTGTGGCAAGTTCGGCCCATGTATCACATAAAAAGTCGCAAAATTGGCGGTAAAATCTGACGTTTCATACTTCATGACGTCATAATTAAGCTGATTCCGACGTGGGCCGGACTTACCCGAATGCCTGTCCGAACTTATCCCATGGCGAGGCTCGTTCGCCGTTCGGTCATCCGATCTTCTGACAGGGAAAATTAAATAATGTTCAAAAATGTTCTCCTATTATCATGTCGGTCTTACTCTCAATAGAGTTTTTGTTTTATTCTTATTCCTCGACAAGCCAACTTTAGGTTGGGTTTGAATAACCTTATCCATACCTCACATCAGGGATGGATTACATTAGTCTCATCCTAGGGTTGAGACGAGGGGATTCCCCTATTCATAACAATGACATGAAGTCACTTCAAAAATACAATGATGTCACGTCAACAATCCATCAAAGTCATGTCAACCCTGAATTTAGCATGTAACGTTATCATTACATTGTGTATATGATACACATTGGGAGAACAGGGTAAGATAAAAAGAATCATTCACCCCCTTGTGGGTAAGATAGGGGAATCTCAGCCCTCGGGGAAAGATTCTTAAGTTGCCAAACATAAGAATCTTCCCCCTCGGGTTGTGATTCCCCTATCTCGCCCCGAAGGGGGTGAGAGATTCTATTAATCTCATTCTGAAAGCAGTATTCTGATTCAGTAAATATCAGAGATCAACAAAAGCTACGCTCTTTTAAGGCTTCGCCTTTTCATATTATGGCAGAAACAGAAACATGAAAGAGACAGTAAAAAGAAATCGCCATGGCTGCATGAAGGAAATATAGCAATACAATACGTATAGCCTATACTATTGCAAACATTAAACGATACCGGTCCAATACATACCTATGTCGTACAGCATAAACTCAAGATACCTTAAACGATACCGGTCCAATACATACCTATGTAGTACAGCATAAATTCAAGATACCTTAAACGATACCGGTCCAATACATACCTATGTCGTACAGCATAAATTCAATATACCTGAAACGATACCGGTCCAATATATACCTATGTCATACAGCATAAATTCAAGATACCTTAAACGATACCGGTCCAATACATACCTATGTCGCACAGCATAAATCCAGGATACCTTAAACGATACCGGTCCAATATATACCTCTGTAGTACAGCATAAATTCAAGATACCTTAAACGATACCGGTCCAATACATACCTATGTAGTACAGCATAAATTAAAGATACCTTAAGTCCAACAATACATCACGATGACAATTGGAGTTGATGAGGAACAAACTATATGTTTTAATGCAATAATTTGATAAACTATTCAAAACATGAACAAACGAAATAACCAGAAAATGGCTGAATCACTGATCAAAGCAAGCCAATATGAAACACAAAAAATATCCCCTAAAATACAACACCTACAGGTTCACTCAGCTTCAGTCTGTGAGTGGGTTATACTCGACCCCAACATTTAGAAATTACCTCTTTATAAGCAACCACCTGTTAATGACGACCCTCTGTCTGCAACGACCATTGGTTTCTAAGCCATTTTCAATAAAACCCATATTATCAGATTGCATTGATCTTTAGCCAACTCGAGGAAAAATATCTACAATAACATGTCTTAAATCTCCTATCAAAACAATAGCTGTCTGAACAACTTTTAACCATCCTTAAGTATTTGGTCTGTTCCGAAGGGTTAGAGAGACGATGCTCACTTTTTTTGTTAAATTGACATTTTTTACCTTTACGTGTGATTGCTATCATGTCTATTCTTATTTGGTTTTCATTGGCCAATTATTTGCCCTAATTCCTTCTGCTGTGTTGGTAGGCCGTTATACATGTACTAACAATAATAATAACTTAAACCACCAACTGTGTACAACTATTACTTCATTACGAAGGCAACCCGTCTACAACTACCTGATTCTGTGTGCGGTAGTTTTTTTCTCTGATAGTCTAGTCTTCTTTGTTGATTGGCCGTTCAGAATCTAATAATAGTGATGATATTGGCTTTAAGGAATTCTTGACCATAATGACAACTGTGCTCACACGTTTGTGGTCTTTATAGGTCGGTTTGGCTATAATCAATATCGTTGACCAAAGTAGCGAAACGTAATGCACAGTGGTCCTGCATAAAATAATACTCTTATAAAAGGTATGCTTGCGGCAAAGAAATATCGACAAAACCGGTAAGGGATGTCAGAGAATATTGTATATTGTATATAAATTGAAAACTGACCCCCGATACTCATCAGTGAAATGAAAGGCTTAGCTTGGAGTCCTTCCAGCAAATAGTTAATATGTGTCTGATAAGGACCAGCAATTTACTTGTACTTTCTCAACCTAACAAACAACAAACAGAACATAGCGAGGCAGCGAAGGAACCAGGAACACGGCAATCCATTGAACTCGTATGTCGCTTTCGTTAACGAGCGCATACTATATCAGTTAAGGAGCGAACGAGCAGAACTCAACAGCAAGAGCGCGAGACTGGTTCGCTATACTGCCGTCGTTTTATCGCTTGCTTTTGGCTTGATAGAGGGAGCGGTTTATGATATTTTGTCATTATCAGAGGTTACACTTTTACACGCTATTATTACAAACAGTGTTGCTTTTTCAGTCGATAACAAGGAAACACACATGAATGGCAAAGAGGATAAAGGCGATGAACCCGATGCCCCCACCAACGGCAGCAAGGTAGAAGGACCAGTCCAGGACGTAGTTTTGACCAATCTGTGTGTACAAGGAGATTGTCAGCGCCATACCACTTATCACGCACCCAGCTGAAAATATAGTTTATTTGTTGAAATATACAGTTACCAGTGTTATCCGTTTGTTAGCTTCTGAATTTATTTGAGACGCTTTTTCAAGTCAAAGTAATAAAATGTCTCAAAATATATACAAATCTTTCTTTTTAACGTTCGTTGTAGATCAGTAGGTGTGAAATTGACTCAGTTGCATAAATGGTGGCAATGCGATAAACATATTTGCGAAACCAGATAACGGACCTATCCCTCGTTTCTAACTTGCCCTCTTGCGTAGAGGATGGGAAGTAATTGTCACTTACAGAAAACAAGCAATTATACTATTCCACTAAATAGATTGAACCCGTCGTTCTCCCTTCAAATATTTGACTTGGTGATAAGTAAAACCTAAATCTCCAATTAACCCTTCACAGGTAACTCAGAGTATACTGTTCAGACTGAAATTAAGGGCACGTGTCTTTTAAGTTGCCTTGGGTCACATGACAAAAACAGATGACAAGAAGCATGTCTTTAAAAAAGGTCGACCTTTGGAATGCTTGGCAAAAAAGTGGTACTTGTTAGACAAATTACTTAATCCTTACATACCTAGCAGTATTGTAGCAGTGATCAAACCCAAGAAATGCTGTACAAAATGATAGTCCATGAATAATCGGGTTCTGAAGAAATACCATACTAATTGAACGAATTTAATATTTGTTTACCCCTTCATGTGATAGACCTGTCCATAAAACCTGCCCTACATTTTTAAGCAAAACAATGCGCTATTAATTTTGATACGAGTCACATATTCACTAATTAAAGCACATGTTGTATATCATGGGAGTATTCCCAAGGCAAGATTAAGACATGAATGTAGCATAATAAAAACTGGCTTATATAAACAGTAATCACGTAACAAGCAATATACATGTACAATAACGCAGATCTCTTCATTTGAATATACGTGGAAATAAAGAGCAAGAAGATGAGAACAATATCTTAATACTGACATATCTCCATATTCCAAATACCTAGATAGCTGTTGTCCATATGGATGTATACAATATGCTTTATTTGGTGAGATCCTTGACAACTTTGTAGACTTTTCTTCAAATCTGTTTTATTTGTGACAAAACTCGTGTGTTTAAACTGAATATGTGCAGTACGATGATAAACACAACGGTCTATCTGTTGATTTTGTTAAACCAAAAACTTACAATTACCTCTTACATTTAGCTCAAATTTGGCCCGGAAGAAATGGTCCCGAAACATACCTCCAGTTAATAGCATAAAGCAGATGACGACCCCACAGCAGATCTTCTTGTTGTCGATCCGTTTACAGGACATGTAGAGGCAAAGAAAGATGAGAGCGATAAGGAAGAGAGAGGTCCCGACCACAGTGAGGCTGGACACAGTTCTCCATGTCTCAGCAGCTACGGAACAAAAAATGGTCAAAAAGATATGGTTACACGGCATATCAAGGGTTATTCTTGGTTTAAAAATATTGATACTTTTATTAACTATCTAGGAATTCTTTTAAACAGGACAATTTATTACGGGGAATGCATAGTTACCCACATCAAGGTAAGGTTTGGTATCAAAATTTAACAAACGTACTCTCCTCAAGACAAGCTTTGGTATCACATGTTAACAAAGACACACACATCAAGACAATCTTTGTTGTGTTGATTCCATCTGTTGATTATAAGCTTCATATTATATATTTTAAACTTTTAACAAAGTAGACAGGTAACATTATTATAACTATTCGATCAATGCGTAGACAACAAATTGCACCGTTAAAATTGTGATCGATGATTAGAGTCTGAGCTACAGAACAAGGTTACTAGTTAGCGGCTCATAATACGCCCGTCACACGTTGAATGAGCAGTTGTTTGTATCGTTGAAATATATGAAATATTTGTGAGTAATTAATGTTAAAGGAGAAATAATTCAACCCACCTTGTAGATCAATGAGTGCAATAAAACATCTTTGGAATGCATTCGATACTACATTAATGAAAAGAAGGGGAATAAGTAAATTCATAATGGTCAGAAATTTGTGATAACATTCACTCCGTTAATTCAGGGGGCATAACTCCGTACGTTAAAGTCGGAAAACGGTGGTATACACATATCGAACTCGTCTGGGCTTTCATGGTAATTAACCTTCCATAAAGTTTTGAATGAATCCGTTGAAAACTACTCGAGGTATCGAGCGGACACTGTTTCAGCAATTTATTAGGGGGCATAACACAGTAAGTTACACTTGGATAATACTGATCATTGTCCGAGCTCTTGTTGTATTTAATATTCCGATGAGGTTTTTAGTTATTCCATTGAACATTAATTGAGATATTGGACGAACAATACGCGCTTATAAGCCCGCCCGCTATTACGGACGTCCTTCGGATGGGTCATGCGTAAGTCGAATTTAGAGAAACGCAAGGAAAAGACTCAAAACATAGCATGAAATGAACTTTCACGGTCAAACATGTGTTGTTAGATTGCATTCACCTTCAGCAAATACAAGATAATTTATGTATTGTAAGATATCTTATAACTCTTTTCAACACAGCAAACATCTACAATTGTTGACGACTAGAAACTATTGATCTGTCCTAAAAGATAAAATTAACCAAATTCACTGTTAATATTCAGGCTGACTTTTTTCATTTGTTTGTTGTCATTTCAATTATCATTTTCATTTCAGTAATAATTACCATAACTTTAGTATGCATATACAATACCTACACCCATCTTTGTAGCCCAAAAACAAAAGATTCAAATATCCCTACCTCCCTACCGTGACGTAACCTCTATCTCGATGACAGAGCCACGGAGTGATCTCCCTTCCTCTTCCTTTTATGGCGCCTGCTGCATGCTGACGCACGGAGCTTGCTCCAATT